CTGCCCCAGCCCTGGCAGTGTTCAAAGCCAGGTTGGCTAAAGCCTTGAGCAACCTGTTCTGGTGGGAGGTGTCCCTGCCCAGGGCAGGGGGTTGGCACTGGGTGATCCCTGAGGTCCATTCCAACCCCTTAACAATCTATGAAACTATGTCAGAAAGGAGAGTGCTGGTGATGAAGTCTGAGCTATTCTCTCTTCTCTTACCACACTGAGTCACAAGTATAGGAAAGTCAGAAGTGCATCAGTCCTCTGTGAGAGTTGCTCAAGCCTGGCAGGATTCTGCTGCTTCACGAGCAGCCCCAAGAGACTGAGCTATCTCTCTGGAAGGCAGATTGAACTCTCTGGTGAACAGAGGATATTTACCTGCCTCATGTTTCTTTACCAGGTCCGTGGTGAGGTAACAGCACTGAGCTATGGAGTTCCACAAGGTTTGGTGTGCTGTTGCCCTTGGAGTTCTGCTGCCTTTCTCCTGGGCCCACACGGACTTCTTCACCTCCATTGGTGAGACATGCTTGAGTCTATGTGCTGCACATAGAGTCTCTTGGTTGCTCCTAGTACCGATTCTGCAATGATGTGTTAATCACTTCAGGCTTTAATTGGTACAGAACTAATCCCACTTCCTACTTATGACTTTATTGACTTTTCTTTTGGGAGAAACATGCTTGAAGTCAGTCTAATGACCCAGGTTAGGCTTTGTGTTCATTATTTATTCTTCCAGGTGTTGGAATTTAAACAGAGTTTTGCTGTGAGCTGTTGCACATCTGTAGAACCAAGAGAACAGCTGCCAAGGGTTACAGTGATGTAGTCCTCACCCTTGGGTTGTGATGGCCTGGGGCACAGCTGGAGGTGGGGACTGTACCCCTTCATGCTGGACCAGCTCAGGTTGCAGGAAATGAAGCAATTATTAATTAATAACAAGGACCCACTGGAAGTAAACTCAAAAACAAAGCACTGGATCAGTATTATGTATCAGACATAAAGGCTCTGTGTATTTCTGTAGCTTTCTCTTTATTTGCTTTACATTATGTATGCTTGGATGAAAGATTACTCTGTGGAAACCTACTTCCTTTTCCAAATGAATACTAAATTAGTTCTAATAATAAATATGTGATATTCCATCAATTTCCATGGCAACAAGCTTGGTCCAGCAGATTTTCTCCTGCAAAAAATCACAAGGCAAGAAACCCTGCTTTAAATGCTCCTTAGGGGTTAATTAAGCCAATGCAGAAGGGCTTTAGGGAAGGAAGAGTTGTAGAAGGGAGAAAAGGGGAAGAATCTCTTTATTTATCAGGGATTTCTGTTTCTTCTTGACTCACCAAACTCACTTGTTTTCTAGGTCATATGACCGACTTAATTAACACAGAGAAAGATCTGGTGGTGTCACTGAAGGATTACATCAAGGCAGAGGAAAGCAAGCTGGAACAGATCAAAAAGTAAGCACTTTGTTTCCTAATGCTAATGGTTAACAATCTGAGTCCACTCTTATGCAAAAAAGTGCTTCCCAAGGCTGATTAAATGTGTGGAATTTTGCCTCTGAGGCAAAGCTTAGACTAGCAGGTTTTGCTGGGTTTGTGTCCTGAGCTGTCCCGGAGCCATCGGCTGGCGTTGTGTGAATTCTGAATGGTGAAGTCTAATCAAGCCACTTTCTACAGCACTGTCACTCTGGGCCTGCTGCTGGCACACAATTCCCAAGGGATGGAGTTCCTTGAATGGCAATTTGCTTAGTGGAGACTAAAACCCAAGAAGTCTCCAAACAACTAGCACAAGGACTGTGAAATACATCAGATGTAACAGCACCAACAAGTGTTGGTGTGGCCATATGAGCCTCTAACCACTGAATGGTGATAACCCCCTGCAAGAGCACAGACTCTTCGCACAGGCAAGTCTGTTTAGAGTGAAATGTAAAATAAAGCAAAATAAACCTTTCCTGCTTTCAGCAATAGTAAGAGACCCAACCATTGCCATTACTGTGTTGCTCAGCTCTATAGGTGTGAGGAGCAGAGCCCAGTGTGTCAGATTTGATCACAGTTAACATACTTTATCACTGAACAGGATGGTTTTCCTTTCAAAAATGAGTATAAATCTATCATAAGGATGTTGAAACAGTTGAAGATAGATGGATTTCATTTCAGCCTTGGTTATTACTCTCTGGTATTGTACCATCCAGGAAGATACTGCTGTTACACTGTATACTTATCACTGAAAATACAGTTGGAATTGCTGACAGGTTTGGAATGTTGCAAGTATATTCCTTACAGCTCCAAATGAAGGTGTGAGTGTGCCAGCTGGACATCTGAAAGGTTTAAATACAGCTTATAGCCTAAGTGTTGCTGCTCTGTGTTTATTATGTCAGAGGTGCTTGCTGTCAGGTCAGAAGAGCTTAAATAGCTGTCACAGAGAGAGAGAGAGAAGGACCTGGAAGAAATATCAGTGTGGTTTGGGCTCTGTCCTTTGGCTGAAGGATCTTGGGAGCTAGTGTGGACTCAAACTCAGTTGGGAATGCGAAGGATGGCTCAGGCCTCCTGGCAGAGGCTTTTATAGACACAGACTACTTGAAGGAAATCTCAGCCCTGTGTTGCAGCTCAGAGTGTGGAGAGTTTCAGCCTCTCCTTAGTTCTAACAGTTGTGCAGAGGGAAGTGCATGAAGGGTTTGATTCTGTGCAACATGAATGCAGTTGATTTCTTCAGTCTTTGTTTTGCTATGAGCTGGAGTTCGTTCTTTGGAGAAGAGAAGGTTGTGTGGAGACCTCAGAGCACCTTCTGGGATCTGAAGGGGCCCCAGGGAAGCTGCAGAGGGACTCTTGGTTAGGAGCTGCAGTGACAGGGCAAGGAGCAATGGGGAGAAATTGAAAGAGGGAAATTCAGATTAGATGAGAGGAAGAGATTTTTTGCTGTGAGGGTGGTTATTGGCTGGCAGATTGCCCAGGGAGGCTGTGGCTGCCCCAACCCTGGCAGTGTTCAGAGCCAGGTTGGCTAAAGCCTTGAGCAACCTGTTCTGGTAGGAGGTGTCCCTGCCCAGGGCAGGGGGTTGGCACTGGATGATCTCTAAGCTCCAGTCCAACCCCTTAGCATACTATAACTATGATTTTCAGCAGCACTTGGCTTTGGAGGGAGCCCCTTCACTGGTGTTGCTGCTGGAAGAACCCACACACAGAGTCTGTCAGAGTGTAGGAAAACAGCTAGAGACAGTGTGGGAAGAGCAAATACAAACAGAGGTACCTTTAGCAGCTGCAGACATCTCCCTGGTGAAGCCTTCAGGTGTAACTCAGGCACTCCAGGTGCTGGGACAAGCTGAACATCAGCTCATGCAGAGTTCCCTCCAGGCTACAGAGTTTGTACTTGCTTTATGTTGGAGTTTGGTGTTCTCTGTGGGGTGTGGTTTTAACATGAATTTATGCCGATTTCAGGGTGTTGTCTTCATGTTCTAAATCTGTACAGTGTTAGAGAGGTTTGTGGAGTTGGAGCTGCAGCACCAGAAGTTTGATCTGGGAGTGTGAAACTATGTGGTTTTCAACACAAGCTTTGAGCATGAAAAGGACCTTTGTGGTGGGAGAGAAAGAGCTTAGCACAGCTGGAAGTGTCTAAATCTAAAATAATTTGAGACAAGCATTGAAATACCTTTTGGTAAACTTTAGGGGGGAAAAAGAACATTTAAATGCCCTTTTTTTTTTAAAAATAAAGAGTTGAAAATAGGGGTACAGCTTTGGTTCTGATTAGTCAGCTCATACTAGAAGTGCTGGCTCACTCCTTTGGGGCTTGTAGGAAGGAGTTCCTTCAGGGTTCAGCAAAGGCTGCAGGATCAACACAAGGTTTGGTCTGCAGCTGAGGAAGAAGATTGAAAAAAAAAGAAAAAGGAATAAAAAATAGCCCTTTTTGTTCCTTCTATATATAGAGAATGTAGAAGCTTGCAATTTTTGGTGGGTTTTTCTTGGTGAAGACACTTGAGGAGCTTGAAATCAGTTCTCTAGCACACTGGCTGCCTTCTGCAGGACTTGAGTGACTGTACTTTGTTTACAGGTGGGCAGAGAAATTGGATCAGCTTACAGCTACAGCCACCAAGGACCCAGAAGGCTTCTTGGGCCATCCTGTAAATGCATTCAAGCTGATGAAAAGGCTCAACACAGAGTGGGGTGAGCTGGAGAGTCTGGTCCTCAAGGACATGTCAGATGGTAAGTAAAAACCAGCACCACATGCCAGGTGCAGTCACTGACTGTGTTTTTCACATGTCAGGGGCTGAATAAGATGCATAAGTTTGCTTTTGGGACTGAGCATTGTGAAGCTAATCTGAATTAGAGTAGTAAACACTTTGCTGCCTCTTTTCTTCAGCAAGAGTAGAAGAGTGGAAGCTCTTCAGCAAGAAACAGGCCTTAAAATAGTTGACTGTGAAAGACAGGTAGCACAAAAGATGGCTCCATGTGACCTATGAGACTCTGTCTCAACAGCTAACTAATACCAAGTGTAGGATTATAGTAAATTACTAGGAGGCAGAGCTTTCAGAAAGCTCCAGGATTAGTCTCTGACAAGGATTCAGCACACTCAGCTTCCCTGTTGCTGTGTAAGGGACTGAATATGCCAACTGAAAAGGCTCTGCCCCTGCCAGCCAAAACCGTAGACCAATGTGTCTTAAGCCCTTCTGAATGAGGAGGAGGAAAAAAGAAAGTGAACTTTTTAGTATAAGAAAATTGCCAGGAAAAAGGCAAATAGTGGGGGAAGGGAATTGTAGTGTAGTACAAGAAAGGAAGCATGGGAAGAAAAAGATATTGGGTTTTTTAAAGCAGGAATATCATTCCATGAACTAATGGTTGTGAACAGTGAGAAAGGACTAGTAGAGTGTGGCAAAAAAAAATCACACATTTGGCCACTTCATTATATTTTGGATGATTTTGCAGCTGAGTGTTGCACACTGGTCTAGTTCTGGTTATGCTGCTCAGTTTTGTGCTGGTGGATATTAGATGAACCTAAACATCATGTTGGCACTGCTCTTAGTTAACACTGTAAAGCTGCTTGTGCCTCTGCAGCTTGGGGCTAAAGAGGAACAGTTCCTTGAGAAGGTATTTTCTTGCCTTTATAGACCCTCCTTGTGCTGTGTTCAATCGCCACCACCCTCAGGCTGCTTCAGAAAGCCCCAAGTGTTCCTTTTTGACTGTTCCTTTGCTTTCTTTAAAACAAAACGCCAGATGCTAACTGTTCAGCATGTGCCATGAGCTCAACTCAGAGCTGTGTGATCTGAGCAATTCTCAGCTGCCAAGTGAATCCATTAACACCCAAGTCCCCAGAAAGCACTTAGGTTCACAGTATTTCATTGCCTACATTTGGTTTTCATCTCCTTATTGCCCAGGCTTAATCTTCACACTCCTATTCTTAGCACTGTTTGGATTTTTCCTCTCCTCAGTGTTTCTTTGTTCCTAAAGGAAAAGGCTTTTGGTGCCCCTGTCCTTGGGGACAGGACTTAAGGTGCTTAAGTGTCCAAACTTAAGGTGTATGTTGGTGCTCTGCAGGGCTCAAAGCTCTTCCTTAGTTTTTAGGCCTCTCCTGAAGTGTTAGTTTTCCCTGGAGCAGGGAATTTTCATGCATAGAGTTAGAGAATATCCAGGATAAAGGTGACCAAGTGTTTCCCTGTCTTTCCAGGCTTTATCTCCAACATGACTATCCAGAGGCAGTTTTTCCCCAACGATGAGGACCAGACTGGTGCAGCCAAAGCCCTTCTGAGGCTGCAGGACACCTACAATCTGGACACAGACACCCTCTCCAGAGGGAACCTGCCAGGTAGGAGCCAGGGATGGCATTTCCAGCACACACATTGTCAACTATTACTACTGACCATCCTGATCACAAATCAGTTACTCTGTTCCATCTTGTTTAGCTGCTCAGCCTGAAGGTAACCACAGGAAAAGGCTTGAGCTGGCTAATACTTGATGAAAAAAGTTGTTCTTAGTTGAAACCTGCATCTTCTGGTTATGGTAATTTAGTGTTACTGGTTTTTAGTAAGAAAGCACCAGCAGTCCAACCTTGCCTGGGTGAGGGTTTGCCTTGCCTTGCACTGCTGTTATTGCACAGCTGAATGCATGTGCATGTGAGCAAACCTGTTGTATTCTGTATCATCCCTTTCCCTCGCAGGGATAAAAGATGGACCTTTCAGACTGGGAGTGACTGAAGTTTCTTTGAGTTTAAACTTCCCAGAGTGTCTAACTGAAAAGCAGAAGGCAGAGCACACAAAAGACTTGAGCTCTGTGGCATTGCTGATCTTTAATAGGTTGATGTGCAGAAGACACTTCTTTATTGTCAGAAAACTTTTTCTCTGCTGATTCTTCCTTGTTTCTTTTGTCTAAACACAGTCCTGTGCCAGCTGGCATGAAATCAGCTCTGTGAATCCATCTGTGTTTTTGCAAGTGCTCACTGTGGTCAGATGCCTAATAAAATTAGGGGTAATTGGCTTTACATGTTCTGATGTATAACTTTGCTTTTGGATTTTCTTCAGGACCATCTCAGAGACCTCCAGATTCCTTCTAACACAACAAACAGCTCATTCCTGTTTTGTTCAAACAGCACAAACGTACAAGATGGAGTTTTTGCCTCTTTTGAAGCATTGAGCTGTGCAGACTGTGTGTAATGAAGTGTGATGGCAGAACCTGGAAGTTCTGGGGTAGAAAAGAGAATAGGTTAAACTCTGGAGAGCTCCAGAGGGCAACTGGAGCTGTCACTTGTTTGTGCTCCATGGCTTCCTTCCCAGGAAACTCCTGTTGGGCCAGTTTGGGTCAGAATCTCAACTCTCATATAGATTCATAGATTGTTAAGGGGTTTGGAATGGACCTTAAAGGTCATCCAGTGCCAACCCCCTGCCCTGGGCAGGGACACCTCCCACCAGAACAGGTTGCTCAAAGCTTCATCCAACCTGGCTTGGAACACTGCCAGGGTTGGTGCAGCCACAGCCTCCCTGGGCAACCTGTGCCAGTGTCTCACCATCCTCACAGGGAAAACTTCTTCCTGATATTTAATCTGAATTTCCCTCTTTCAATTTCTCCCCATTGCTCCTTGTTCTGTCCCTTCAGTTCCTAACACAGAGTCCCTCTGCAGCTTCCCTGTAGGCCTAAATTGCCTAATCTTTATGTTCTTTGAGAGTTTGCAGCTTCAGGCTCAGAAAACTGCATGGAGCACAAGGTGTTTAGTAAGGGAGCTGGAACAAAGTTCTGTGGGATTTCATGGAATGTCACTCCAGCTATTAGACCTCTTGTCTCCAGCAGAACAGCTCCTCTGTTTGAGCTCTGCAGAGCTGCTATTAGGAATTCAGAGTGTATTAAGATATAATCAGGAGTGTAACTGTAGCTGTAAAACTGGCAGGTCCTGTTTCCTCCTTACAAGGTTAAATCTGCTTTTCCATTGGGCCTGTATTTCCAGGGGCAAAAATAGAAATCTGTCATTTGCTTCCTAGTGCTTTAATCTTCCAGAGGTCACTTAAAATGTTTCTATAAATGACTGACTTCAAAAAATCCTGGGCAGCTGGGAATTCACTGCCTGATGTTTTCCTCCTCTTCCTCCCCCCACCAAGCTGTCACTAACAAGTTGTGCCTCAGGAGTGTTTTGAAAGCAAAAATGACTTTGAAAACAGATTTCTGAGGCTTCATATTTGGCTTTACTATTGCTCTTGCTCCAGGTGGTTTGGGTTTAGAAAGAAGAAAATTTGTTTTATGTTATTTTTCCCTAATGGTAAAGATATTTAGCTTGTTGCTGGTCTGCTGGCACTGGGAAATGCATCTGAGTGCTTGAGTGTTTGCCAAGGGTTTACAGGCTTTAGACTTCAACTGAGTCTTCAACCAGCAGCTACCACAGAAAGGAGCTGCTGAGGACAGAAATAATGCTGTGAGGAGTGAGTAGTGACTGACTGTCACTCCCAGGCCTGCTCTGGAATCCTTTGTACATTGTTTGCTCTGCTTTCCATACAGGTGTGAAGCACAAATCCTTTCTCACAGCTGAAGATTGCTTTGAGCTGGGCAAGATTGCCTACACAGAAGCTGACTACTACCACACAGAGCTCTGGATGGAACAAGCCCTGAAGCAGCTGGATGAGGGAGAAGTGTCCTCTGCAGATAAAGTCTACATCCTGGACTACCTGAGCTATGCTGTGTATCAGCAGGGAGACCTGGGCAAGGCCATGGCACTCACCAGGCGCCTCCTGGAACTGGGTATGGGGGAGAGTTCCAGCTCTGTCTGGGGAGCTGCTGCCTATGGACTTGTCCTGGGGAATGTGATCTTGCCTGCATTCTGACTTGTATATCCATTTTAAAATGGATTTTTACTCTTAACAGTCTCAACTCCCATGTCAGGAAGTTGTGGTTAAGGATTGCTCCTTCCTATTGAATGATTTTCTGGCTCCCAGCACTGTTGGCTTGTAACCCCTCACCTGCCTTAGTCATTACTGCCTAAAGTTTGGTTCTCTCCCTACATTTCATAATATGTTAAGAGGTTGGACTGGAGCTTAGAGATCATCCAGTGCCAACCCCCTGCCCTGGGCAGGGACACCTCCCACCAGAACAGGTTGCTCAAGGCATTAGCCAACCTGGCTTTGAACACTGCCAGGGTTGGGGCAGCCACAGCCTCCCTGGGCATCCTGTGCCAGTGTCTCACCACCCTCACAGCAAAAAATCTCTTCCACTCATCTAATCTGAATTTCCCTCATTCAATTTCTCCCCATTGCCCCTGGCCCTGTCACTGCAGCTCCTAACCAAGAGTCCCTCTGCAGCTTTACCCTCACAGGGAAAACTTTTTCCTAAAATCTAATCTAAATTTCTTCCTAATTTCTTATGTAAATCTCACTTTTACTCCCCTGGGTTGAAATTATTTACCTTTAGGCACAGGCACAAGAACAAAGTTAGTGAAAATGAAACTAACTCGATGGTGCCAAAATCTCTGCAGATGATTTAAATGCAAATGAAGCATGAAAAGCTTGGGAAAATAGGAAATACAGAACACGAGACACTAAGATAAGATTTTGTCTTGTGAAACATGAGAAGTATTTATGCTTCTGTAAATACTCTGCTGATGGACTGTGGAAAGGATGCCCTGGGAAGCTCAGAACTAAACCTACCATAAGAACTGAGGCTAATTCTGTAAGTTCGATGATTATTAGGAGCTTTGTCACCAGAAATCTTCAATCCCAGCAGGGAGTTGTTCAGGTTTGCAGCCAGTCGTGCTGTCCCAGTCTCTCCCTCTCTGGCTGGAATGGTCAAACCCTTTTCCTTAGTGCAGGGACCCCTGTGTGCAGTGAGGGCTGAGAAGCAGTTAGTGTGCATCTGTTTTCTTTTCCTCTCTGTAAATAGCCACTTCTGGCTAATTCCTCACCAGCTGGAAACTCACCAGTGAGCCTAGTCTGTTTCCTTGTCAATAGATCCTGAACATCAAAGAGCAAACGGGAACATGAAGTATTTTGAATACATCATGGCTAAAGAAAAAGAAACCAACAAATCCAGCCCAGATGCAGAGGAGCAGCAGGAGAAGGAAACTGAGGTTAAGAAAAAGGATTACCTGCCCGAGAGAAGGAAGTACGAAATGCTGTGCCGTGGGGAGGGGCTCAAAATGGTAAAGTGGAGTAGACTGTTCTCAACTGTTTGCAACCAACTGTACCCAACCATGTCAGGAATTTGTGTGTGGTGTGGAAGCAAGGAGGTTGTTAGAGCAGCTGGATGAGTGAGGATCAGTGTGTGTTGGATTTCTTCCCTGTTTCGGTCTGTCCAGTAGACAAAAAGCAGTCCTGCCCCAGGCAGTGCTGAGCTGGATGTGCTACAGCAGTGGAATTAATTGGATGCGGATGCTGGAAGTCTGGAGTTACATCCAGAATTAAATAAGTGTGGTTTTAGTGATAAAATTAGTTTAATGTGGCTGTGTAAAGCAATAGTGGTTATACACACAGCATCATTGATGTGCTGAGAGTATTAATTTCCCCAATTTAAAGCATCTCTAACCCATAACAACATTAAGGTTGTAACAGCACATTAAGGTAGGGAAAAGGGAGTTGTTTCTGTGCCTTGTTCTCAGGACATATGCTGTTTCTGAGGGATTAATGCCACGTGGAAGGTCACTGACTCTCCTCCTCTGACTCCCTTCCAGACTCCTCGAAGACAGAAGAGGCTCTTCTGCCGCTACTATGATGGGAACAGGAATCCCAGGTACATCCTGGGCCCTGTGAAGCAAGAGGATGAGTGGGACAAGCCCAGGATTGTTCGCTTCCTTGACATCATCTCTGACGAAGAGATCGAGACAGTGAAAGAACTGGCAAAGCCAAGGGTAAATCCCTTCCAAATGCCTCTGGAATCCTAACTCCCACCTGCACTTCCCGTGTGTGTGTGTGATTGTCTCCTCTGGAGTGCAGGGCTGTGTGCAGTGTGGTCACACGTGGCTTTCCTCACTTTTTAGCTCTTGGTGACACTCTTGGAAGGAGGAAAGTTGGGAATTGTGTGTGGATAGAGCCAGGTGACAGCAGGGCAGGACTGTCAGGCTCCTCCAGCAGACACAGTTCCGGCACACACTGGGTCAGCTGATGAGGACAATGTTCTGAATAGAAAACAAATATACTGCACTAGGGTGCCTTGGTATTCCTGGGTTTTGTTTGATTTTGTGGGATTTGTTTCTTTTTAACTGTGGAGGATATGGTTTAGGGGTTCCAGCAGTGACAGGTTAACGGTTGGACTTGATCTCAGAGGTCTTCCCTAACCTCGTTGATTCTCTGAAGAGTGCTGCCTAAGGACAGCAGCCATTCCTCTGGGCCTGGAATGCCACCTGATTGGAGAGACAGGAAAGAATGGCTGTATTCTCTCTTTGGTATAAAACTGACTGCTGGCTCCCTGGCTTGCCAGTTGCCAGCAGATGGAAGAACTTTGAGAGGGCAGGACTTAGTGGTACTCACCTTGTTATTGGCAGTGCTGGCTTACAACCCTGTTTCAGACACTGGATCCTCAAGGTTTTAGACACTGGATCTCCAGGTTTTTGTTTCAGAGTGCAGAATAATCCAGGGCAGCTCAGCTGTCTGAGGGAACAAGTGTGTCCAAGGCAAAGAGCACATGGATGGGGCTAAGTGCATTCAGTGTAGGACAAACTGTTGGCTTGGCCTGCTGTCAGGTAAAGCAGCTCTGGGTTAGACAGGTACATGGAGGGTGAGGCTGTCCTTGGCCACTGCACTGGGTGCTGGGGAGCCTGAAGGTGATTTTAAAGCTCCCTGAAGGCTGATGTGTTGGGTGTCAGGAAGAATTTCCTCACTGAAAGGGCTGTCAGGCATTGGAAGGGGCTGCCCAGGGAGGTGGTGGAGTCACCATCCCTGGAGGTGTTCAAGGAACCACTGGGCATGGCACTTAGTGCTCTGGTCTAGTTGCCAAGGCAGTGATGGATCACAGGTTGGGCTTGATCAGAGAGGTCTTTTCCAGTATGAATGATTCTGTGATTCTGTTCTGTGATCTCTGAGGTAACATTCTGAACTGTAAGCAGGAAGTACAAGCTTTGCACTTGGATCTCCTCCTGCTCTCCTGTCAGGCAGCCGTGCAGGGCTGAAGATCAGAGCCCCTGTTGTTGGTCTGTAGGTGAGTAAGTCCCTTTGCTCCTGCATTGCACCTGTGAGCTATGACCAAATCCCTTCTTCATGGAGTAGAAAACCTGTGGATGTGTGATTGTAGCTTCTGACCTTGCTGAAGTCATTGTTTTGCTGTCAGGCATTTGGCTCATGGCAAAGATTTGGAGATCCGTAGTTGGTTGACGCAGGAGCATCTGTATGCAGTTAGCATTCCATGTATTCCCTCTGGCTGAGCCCTTGCATGGTGTGGTTTTGGAGACTGAAAGGTCACCTCCTCCTTCCCAGTGCCGGGATGTTGCCATCCTCTGGGAAGACAGCACTGTCTGCTCTGTGCTCTGCCTTCTGCTGTGCTGGCAGGAGGAAGCCTCATTAGTGAGCTTGGGGAGTCTCACTGGGATTGTAGCTTGTGCCTTGGCTTTTGTCTGTGTCTGTGGGATGAGAGCAGAGGCAGTGTGCTAGGAGTTCCCATATTAGGAGTTCTCTTGTTAGGAGGTGTGGAGAGGCCTTGAGTTACTTCACTTAACAGTAGAAAAGTACTTCTGATTGTTTGGGGCATGGTGTGCCTTTGTGCCTCCTCCAAAACTGGAGCTTTGCACCCCAACCTTTGCAGTGGTGAGTGATGGAGTGCCTAACAGTACATGAATTGAGTTCAGGTGTGTGTGTAAGGCTCTGAATTGGAGTGTCAACATAGATGGGATGGCATGAAGTAAACGGAGCACAGTAGGGGGAGAAGGAGGCCTGGAACTGAGAGTTCCCACTCTGTGTATTTTAGGAGCACAATGTCTCCTAAACAGTGTGTCTATGGATGAAGGAGTAGTTTGTGTTAGCACAAAGGAATTCTGTGCTGCTGTTGGAACAGAAGGAGCACTAAGGATAGAGTTTGGTTATCTTTGGCTTGTGTGGGATCACAGTGCTGCCTGGACTCAGTGTACCTGTAAGACTCCTGTTCCACATGCAGGACAGTGACCAAGCACCAGCTGTACACCTGCCACAACACTGTGCTGCTTCCAGAGCTTGCTGGTTTGCTTTGTCCGGACAACTGTTCTCCTCACCACAGAATGCAAACAGGACTTTGGAAACCCCAACCTCCTCTAACACTGTTTCAAAGCACCCAAAGCACCCCCTGTGTGTCAGCTAGACTGGAGCCTCCCCTGCCCCGTCCCCCTGCCCCGGGCCGGGCGCTGCAGCGGGTGCTGTACTCAACTGTTGTGCCGCTTCGCTTCACAGCTGAGGCGAGCCACCATTTCCAACCCCCTAACGGGAGCCTTGGAGACGGCACATTACAGAATTAGCAAAAGGTAAGAGCTCTCTGCCGCAGGTGTGGGGCCTCCTGCTCATGATGGGGAGGAGATGGGCTGAGACACGGCTCCACCATGTTATTCCATGCAGGGCTGGAACAGGCTGAGTTTCTCAGGCTTTTCCTTCAGCTGGAAGTGTATTTTGATATTGATGTGTATTGATTTTGAGATGTATTTCAGTGTATCTTTCTTTTTTGGTCACTCTCAGTGTGTGTTTTCCAATTATCAATGCAAAAAGTAGGTTTCTGCAGTCAGTGTGAAAAACAGGTGATGCTACAAAACCTTCAGTAAAATCTAATTGATTTTATGTTTAATTTATATATTCCTTTCCCCTTGCTCTTCTTGCCATCAAAGAATTGTCCTTCCTGTCCTGGAAAACCTAGCAGGCCTGAAAGTGCCTTTACAGCTATAAGAGATACAGACCTTGAGGTGCCTTTACAGGTGGAAGAGGTGCTTGGAGCCCTTGCTGTGCATACAAACAGTCATTAGCCACACAGCGTCTCCTTGTGTGAGATAATCCTTTGCTCCTGCCTGGGCTCCTTTGCCTCCTGCCTGACACAAATCTGGCTCACTTTCACTACTCTCTTGGTTCTTTTCAGCTTGTCTATCAAGTACTCCAAGGATTTAATTTAGCCAGGGTTTTCCCAAATTAGCTGAATGTGAAAGAAACCACCTGCCCACCCTCCCCCGGTTTTAGCCATGGTAACTAAAGGTTGGCTGTGCCACACCGTCAGCATTGAGCCAAATTTCTGGCAGGAGTTCAACTTCTGGGTGAAAAGGAATTGT